AAATATGTTGCAGGGTTAATTAACTGTGAGAATTTCTATGAGTATTAATTATTAAAAATAAACAATTATATTTCTTTGAATCCATTTACCCAGTTCAACAGTATACTATGACCCGTCAGTTTGTCTGAACCAGAAAAGTCTGACCAGACAGCAGTTTGATTATTCTTACGGGAAGTCTAGCATCACAGTGCAAACATGCCCTGCAAAGGAAAATTTTCTAGAAAAAAAAAGGATAAACTGTTACTCAGTCTGCTTGCAATGCTTATCTGTTGTGGTCCTTTTTCATCTTTTATATTTTCCGGCCATCGGACCAGGATTTTATAACCTACACGTAATGTATTTTAAGGAAAAATCATCATTTAGACGAGTACTGTAGGTGTCACTGTGTTGAGCATTGAGCTCCAATACATCTCTCTCTCGCTGAGAAAGTGCTTACATAGATTGCCTTCTCTGGCTGAACAATTACATGTTAAAGATCAAAGAAATGCAGAGTGGCAGGAGAACCATGTTTACCTTCATAATATTCTTAGAATAACTGATTTCATGTTCTGAAATATGTTGAGTGCTGTCTTTGTTCGATGAATATAAGCTTATAAGGACTGTTAATATAAGCTGTTGTTATTAAGAGATTAGAAAAAATCTTTACTTTGTGACTCTTTCAATATGGTCGTCTGACAGAAATATATATTACCTCCAATGTGTTTCATAGTCTGATGAAGGCTAAAAGGATGAAACATTAGCATGTTTGTTGGCTTGGCCAAATAAATTGGTATATTTGAGAATTGTCACACAAGTTTTATGTGTGTGCAACCTATTTCCTTTGGGTATTCAGTGCTGGAGTATTTACAAAATGCTTTGGCTCCACTGTTGTTAGTATCATTAGCTGAATTTGTCAGTTACACTAACTATGAGGATTTCTGAATATTTAAGTTTAAAAAAATAAACATATCCTGTTTCCCAATGCACTATGACCTCTCAGTTTGTCCGAACCAGCCTTTGGCCTGCAGAGCAACAGATGCCAGCTGTTTGCTCATCCTTACTGGAAGTCCAGCATCAGTTTGCCAAAAGGCCCCACAAAGAACATTTTCAGACTAGCACATGTGTTAATATTAACATTGTAGGTACAAGGGGATAATTATCTGTTTTTGGCTACTCTTGATTTTTCCATTATATTTCA